CACCCTCAAGATGATATGAATTAATAATAAGATTAAAATAAATAACAATAAAGAAGATAAATAACCTCTTGCTATCCACTGATTGATGTTAAATTTAGTCAAATTGAAAAAGAAACTGAAAATACATTTTACCATCATATGGTTTCTTATATACGAATAGAAAGTTGTCTTTCATGATCTAAAACATATCGTTGTAAAATACATGGACGAAGACACATCTTGATGAGAATAACAATAGAATTTCATACTCTTTCGTTTATTTTTATCTTTTGTTATATCAAATACATACAAAAATTACTAGTGGACACAATTATTTTATTTCTTTTGTGAATTTACAAGGAGTCAGAGTAAGCGATATTAAATTGACAATTTATATCAAATTATTATTTCATTGTAAAACTAAATAATTGATCCTGATATTATTTTATCTGCTGTATCAACTGATGAAAAGATCCTAAGCAGATCAGTATTGTCTAGCTAGACACTTGAATTCATATACTTCACTATTTACTTTGATCTCTTTATATGTATCTTGAATCTCCTCAAAGGCAAACCACTACCACCATTGAGATTTTTTCTTAGAAATATATATGTATACTTGATATCGAAAAATTATCAACGAAATAAATAATATTTTTCTTCTCTATAACAATTCATAAATATCCACTTATTGAAACATACAAAAAACATTGAATCAATTTGATTTATTATTATCGAGATATTTTTATTGTTTGAAATTTGAGAATATCTCTTCATATTAATGAAATCTTCATCTCCAAATCACATATGTCATTGATACGCTTGTTTGTTATTAGCTGATCAAGCAATAGAATATTATTTTATACCCTTGTCGATTGGTGATACTAATTGTTCACAGTATATATGAGTATCTAGGTGTGTTTATGAATGAAAATAAAGTTGTTTAATTAATAAAAAATGTTATGATTTTCTTAAATGAATAGAACTTTGTTTATTAGTTCGGTTTGTATCAAATAATTATTCTATTACAAATACTCCTGTCAATCATAGAAAACAAAAAGATTAGACCTTTTTGCCTTTATTACGTAATGAATTCCAGTATTTTATAGTTGTATACTATGTAATCTACATACTCGATCTAACTGTATTCGAGAAAAATCATTTGTAAACGTCATCGACTGTGTTATAAGTATGATTATGCAATGCTTGTATAACTATTGTTATTTAGATCAAGATATGGGTGTGAGTGCTAGGTGAATACAGTATCCACACGCATACACTCAAGCCCCATTGTTTTCATTTACACAATTTCCTTTCGATCATAGCAACAGCTCTAAGTAAATATTATCATCACGATACAGATTAAGATGGAAAACAAACAGTTTTATTTATGGTGTTTATGAAAATTACACTACAACAAAAATATAGCTATCATCATCACTGACTATGTGTCCGCTATCGCAATATATTCGGTATTAACTTTTATGGTTTTCTAGCTCTTTCATTCCGTGCAACATATTCATTGATTTCACACTTGGTGTCGTCTCCGATTTCATTACCTATGAGATTTAGTGTTGTGAGTGTCTAAATGAAAAATTGCAAATACATTGTATAGATGAAGAGAGAATGATAATTACGGTGTTTTGTCGTAATCCATCAGCCAATTGTTGTGCTCCAACATCTTGTATTCTATTACCCCATAGATTTAGTGTGGTGAGTGTCTAGATAAAAACTACAGTTAAATACATGGTATAGATGATCAGAGAATGATAGTTACTGTGCTATGTCGTAAGACATCAGCCAGATGTTGAGTTCCAGCATCCCCGATATGATTATATGCAAGACTTAGTGTGATGAGTGTCTAGATGAAACAGTGCAGGAAAAGACATGCTATAGATGAACAGCAAAATGCTAATTACTGTATTATAGCGTAATCCATCAGCCAAATATTGTGCTCCAGCATCTCCGATTCGATTATCTATGAGATTTAGTGTGGCGAGTCTCTAAATGAAAACTTGCAACTCAAGACATGATCTAGATTAAGAGAAAGTGATGATTACGGTGTTATGTCGTAATCCCTCAGCCAAATATTGCGCTCCAGTAGTTCCGATTTCATTATGTTTGAGATTCAATGTGATGAGTGTCTAGATGAAAAAGTGCACGTAACGACATGGTGTAGATGATGAGAGAATGATAACTACTGTGTTATGTCGTAATCCATTAGCCAAATATTGTGCTCCAACATCTCCGATTTGATTCCATGGGAGATCTAGTGTGATTAGTGTCTAGATGAAAAAGTGCAGGTAAAGACATAATATATATCAAGAGAGAATTATAATTACTGTGTTATGTCGTAATACATCAGTTAAAAGTTTTGCTCCAAGTGCTCCGATTTCATTACGTTGGAGGTTTAGTGTGGTGAGTGTCTAGATCAAATAATGCAAGTAAAGACATGATATAGATGAAGAGCGAATGCTAATTACTGTGTTATGTCGTAATCCATCAGCCACATGTTTTGCTCCAACATCTCCGATTCGATTCCATTGGAGATCTAGTATAATGAGTGTCTAGATGAAACAGTGCAGGAAAAGACATGCTATAAATGAAGAGAGAATGCTAATTACTGTGTTATGTCGTAATCCATCAGCCAAATGTTTTGCTCCAAGAGCTCCAATTTCGTTATTTGCAAGATTTAGTGTGGTGAGGGTCTAGATGAAAAAGTGGAGTAAAGGGTGGATATAGATGAAGATAGAATGCTAATTACTGTGTTTCGTCGTAATCCATCAGCCAAATGCTTTGCTCCAACATTTCCGATCCGATTATTTGCAAGATCTAGTGTGATAAGTGTCTAGATGACAAAGTGCAGGTAAAAACATGGTATGGATGAAGAGAGAATGCTAATTACTGTGTTATGTCGTAATTCATCAGCCAAATGTTTTACTCCAAGAGCTCCGATATCATTCCATTGGAGATTTAGTGTCACGAGTGTCTAGGTAAAATTCGAAGGTAAAGACATGGTGTAGATGAAGAGAGAATGGTAATTACTGTGTCATGTCGCAATTCATCAGCCAAATGTTTTGCTCCAAGAGCTCCGATTTTATTCCATCCGAGATATAGTGTGGTGAGTGTCTAGATGAAAAAGTGGAGTAAAGGGTGGGTATAGATGAATACAGAATGCTAATTACTGTGTTGTGTTGTAATCCCTGTGCCAAACATTGTGCTCCAACAGCTTCGATTTGATTACTTCCGATGTTTAGTGTCATGAGGGCCTAGATGAAAAAGTTCAGGTAAAGACATGATACAGATGAAGACAGAATGATAATTACTGTGTTACGCCGTAATACATCACCCAAATGTTTTGCTCCAATAGTTCCGATTTGATTATGTCCGAGATTTAGTGTGATGAGTGTCTAGATGAAAACCAGCAGGTAAACATATGGCATAGATGAAGAGGGAATGCTAATTACTGTGTTATGTCGTAATCCATCAGCCAAATATTGTGCTCCAACGTCTCCGATTCCATTAACACTGAGATCTAGTGTGGTGAGTGTCTACGTAAATACGTGTAGGTAAATACATGAGATAGATAAAGAGAGAAGTCTAATTACTGTGTTATATTGTAATCCATTAGCCAGATGGTGTGCTGCAATATCTCCGATCTGATTCCATCGAAGATTTAGTGTCGTGAGTGTCTAGATGAAACAGAGCAGGTAAATATATGGTATAGATGAAGAAAGAATGGTACTTACTGTATTGTGGTGTAATATAGTAGCCAAATGATGTGCTCCAACAGCTCCGATTTGATTCTCTTCGAGATTTAGTGTTTTGAGTGTCTAGGTGAAAAAGCGCAAATAAAGACTCAGTAAAGATGAAGAGAGAATACTAATTACCCTGTTGTGTCGTAATCCATCAGATAAGTACTGTACTTCATCATCTCCGATTTGAGTACGTTGCAGATTTAGTATGTTGAGCGTCTACATGAAAAAGTTCAGATGAAGGAGAGAATCGTTAATCGCTGCTATGTCCAAGTAGGTGTGTGTGAGGAATGTTAACGTAAGTAGGGTGGAGCAGGCTGTATCGATATGAGTGTGAGTTTTTTTCAGAAACTTTAGATGGTATAGAGTGCTAATGATTGCGTTGGGAAAGCTTGATGAAAAGAAAGTTTGTAAGGGTTGTGCATATGTGACAATTTTTATGTATGAGTTTCTAGAAGTCTTGAATGTTTGTAGAATAAGGAAAAAGTTTTGGTAAATGAGCGACAGCGTGGAATTTGCTTCGGCAAAATACAATTGTGAAGCGTTTGATTAGGTGTCTAAAGCGCAAAGTTTCAGAATTAATGTTTTAGAGCGTAATAAAGTATAGTACATCGCTTGCTAGTGTTCTCTAGGTATGAAAAAATAGTTTCTTTGTAGTGGTGGATGGACGAGTTTCTTCCATGTCCGTTGATATGACTCGAAGTATGGTTCTCATAAGAACCTCGTGTATTGTCTAGCTTTGTTTCATTCATGCCTATGATTTATATTCGTTAGAAAATTTATTGATCGCGATTGTTGCTTTCGATGGCAACATACGACTGTATGCATGATGAGTAGAAGACAAATAAATACTAAATTGTCGTACAAAAAGGATCCATTATGAATGGCCCGGGACTTCTCAAACTAGCAATGAATTATCCTCGAAACTTCCTCCTTGAGAAACTTTGTTTCAGTTGAAACGCGTTTCAAAACAATTATTGTGACAAAACATTTGTTTTAGAAATAAGAATTAACTTTAATAATATGGATGTGAACGATGTGATTGGAGGTGAATGTGGATTCTGTTATAGATCAATGTTCCCACTATCCACATTCCCCGTCATCTATATATACAGTCGCTTATGCTTTCAAAGGAGTACTAGTCGGAGATATCTGTTAAGAGAATTTCTAGAGCGTTATTTATAACAAGATAAGCTAGTTTATACATCCTATATTTCTTCCAAAATCTAATTCTAATATAGAAATAGTATTTAAAAAACGTGTCTACACACATGTAAAAGCAAATAGTAATGTTTTATCCCTTTTTCTCTCGTTGTTATCTAAATATTGTATGTTATTGACATCATACTTGGTTGAGAATGTGGACTATTAAAAAGAGATTGAATCGTAAGAGGAAAAGAATTTTTTTTTCGTGATTATCTATATATTATTTTTATATTGGCATAATACAAAAATTTATTTTTTATTAAGAGACCGTAATAATGAAAAATAATTTGAAGGTCGATAGATAAAAATTACACCGTGATGATAGAGAAATGGTTACCTGATATCGATCATAACTGTCTATGATGTTGTTGAATCGCTGACATACGTTTCGCATTGAGCATAGCATTGTAAGATCCGACTGATGATCCAGAATTCGATAAACAAGTTCTACCGGTAATGTTAAGAAGGTAGCGATGGTTTGATTTGCCATTGTTGGACGTTGCTGAAATGGGTAGTATGTAGTCGTATGTCAGTTATATGATGTGTGATTGTTTTTGCCTTCCGATTAAATGAGTAGACATTTGTTGTATTACTGGTTTTAAACGATAATGCAATTACTTATTAAAAAAAAAGGAAAAAGAATAATGGTAGCTACAAAATTACAGAACAGACATAACATATAATAGACAATGTTTTTTTTATGATTGTTTAGAGATATAAAATGGTATGTAATAGATACTATATAATCATCATAGACAAACAGGAATTCAAAATGGATTGGGACATGTCAAAACATTCTTTCATCAATTAATAAATTGTTTTTTTTATATATTTGACTACAATCGGAGTTTATCTGAACGTGTTTTATTGATAGAATATGAAGCGTACAAGCTCATAAAAGTATATTAGAAAGCTGACGTTTGTAAATATACTAATACCGTGTATAAAAATATTTGTTTTTCTCTGAAAGAATATATTGACTAAAGAAAAAATTATTAGATATTTGTGCATTTGTTTTTCTTAATTTTTTACAATAGAAATTAGAATATTTTTTTTATAATGTAGAGATATGATTATTATAAATATAGCTTAACTTTTATATTGAATTCATATTATCAACAACAAGAAATGAAAACTTCACATTGGAAAAACTTTCCTTCTTGGTTTTCTATTGATTCTATGATTTCGTTGGGTGTCGATGTGAGTGCGGATGTTTTATTTCAACCACACCCAGACCCACACCCTAATTCTAATTTGAGTAAAAAAATACATGTTTTAGCGAGTTTCAATACGTTACAAAAGAATTCTTTTGTACTTTAATTGTAATCAATATTTCATTAAATTTCACACACTTTTGATAAGAAAAAGAATTCACTATCATTCTAGATTTCAAGTAAAAGTATCGTTTTATTTATTTATAAAAAATAGAATATTTTTATGCAATCAAAAAAAATAACAAAATTCGGTATGACTTTGCATTTACAAAAGATATTATAGGCTAAGATTCGGTATTAAACGAAAGAATTAATAGGCAAAGAGAGAGAGGAATAAAATAACGACAATAAAACTAAATGAGTTTTTTTTATCATCGATCGTCGTGTTTAATAAACATCTAGCGAAGCAATAAATAAAGTGCTTTAGAAAGGTCTGATTTTTTGTATAACAATTACAACAGAAGTATTGACTATTATAAGCTTAAAATGATTTGAAAGTCTAAACCAGTTAAAGATGTTTTCATGTATGCAAAGAATAGATGTGAAAATGTGAGTGTCTTGTTGATTAAAGTAAATATAACCATTTATGTATACAATTTAATTTTTGGATGATGACAACGATAATACACGTATTTTATTAGTATCATTTACATGTATCTATGACGTCAAATACAACGAGATTATCAATGTAGGTAGATTATTTGATCATATTTCTGATAGGAGAATCGATTAGACTTGTTTCGTCACTATTCGAAAATTTATTATGTATATGAAACATAAGACTTCAATCGCATGTATTCTTATATAGCCATCTGAAAAAAAATGATTCTAATCCAAATAATAACATATAAAGCGCAAGACAATTACATACTAGCAAAAAAAAATTGCCAACATGGCATGACTATTGTCATCGTCGTACCAAACAAACTCGAGGTTGTTGTAGTTTAACAAAAAAAGATATTTTTCGTATTCTGAGTTATCTTGCACTTCCTTTGATGAGTGAACAAGGTTTAAATTAATCAGTTCTTTAACGCACACTTGAACGAATAATAGCTGAAGAAACACGAATAAATTAATAGAATTATTAATTAAAGTGAGAAAATTCCTGAATATATAGGCCATATTTTAATGAAACTAAAAAATAGAATAAAATCGAGGTACTTCTAATTTGAATTGTGACTTGAAATGAAAATTAAATATAATAAAAATTATTTTAATTATTTCATATCAATTGTATTTATTATTTAAAAAATTAAAAATTAAAAACTACAATCTTCAAAATGAAAATTGTACTAACGGACAATGCACATGATAATTTTCATATTGTTATTAGAAAACGGAAGAAAATAGTGTGACGTAATAATATTGTTAAATAAATTCATTTTTTTCATCTCTATATATTTATCTGATACAAATCCTATGCCTTATTTATCAAATCTAGTATAAAAGATATTTCTACAACTTTCTGAACTTAACGTGGCAGTCTATTATTTTGTAGCCCAGCGCATGGCTTTTGATTACTGAGAGAAAAAAGAACAGAACAGAAAACGTTAATACGATATATGGAGATATGCCGTGATCGATGTAGACAGAACAGAAGAAAAAAACACAAAATATATGGTGTCGTCATTATTAGTGTACGTTTTTATACTTATCAACCCTTTCATACGATACATTATTTCTTTTTTTTTTGTTTTCTTCTCACATGTTTCATTTTCCTCTTTCATATATCACTCGTCTAACGTTTTTCTCATGACTGTTTTTAGCAGTAATACTAGAAAAATTGCAACTCAAACTGTACAAAGTATATTCAGAGATTATCGATTCTATACTATTATTTCATAGTATTACAATCTATCATTTTTTTTGAATAGGTTATCGCAGTTTGATTAAACCTTATATCATCACAACAATCGCAATTGGCACAAGTGTAACAACCGGTGATCTTATATGTCAATATTTAGAAAGCCATAAGAAGGGTCCAGATGGTAAGACTATTGTACGACCGTCATCTTCTATGATCTCATGGTGGGATCGTGAACGATCTCGAATTATGTGTACGGCAGCTGTCTTTGTATCAACACCATGGTCTTTCATACTCTCTAGAACAGTTGAGAGATTGTTTCCAGGTTAGTAAAAACTAAGATATTTAACAGATATCAAATTCGATATTTTAAAATCTTAGCCGACGTACATTTGTTTTCATTTATACACAAAAAATTCAATCTTTCGGAATGTGACCAAGAAAAAAAATCATATTTCGAAGTAAGTTGCTTCATTTAAAAGTACAATGTTAATAACTGAAGCTAGAATCGCATTAGAAATAAGGTGAGACAATATATTCAGTTTTATTTCTAATCGGAGACAAATACAATGAGTTCTTCAGCTTTCGATTAGTCATCATATGATCAGTTTATTTTATAATGTTTTCAAATATCACAAAAATCTAGTCTTGAATGATGGTTTGTATCAACAAAATATTATCTATTTGTTCAGAATTAAATTAATTCGCTTCTCTTATATAATTAAATTTGCACTGACTTGTTCTGTGCTCATCTCTCTTTCTTGTATTTCTAGGTAAACAAAATATTCAAATTGTAAAGAAAATATTGACTAATACATTACTCTCACCTCTTAATATAAGTCTCGTCTTCACAACGATTATTCTTCTTCAAGGTCACACTCTTCGTGTCGCTAGAACAAAAATTAAAAATGATATGCCAAAAACGTTTCTCGTTGGATCATGTTATTGGCCATTCGTTTCATTTATTAATTTTCGCTTTATACCATTGAATTATCGACCAATGGCTGGAAGCGCAGCTGGAGCTTTATGGAATATTTATATCTCATCAACTAGTAATAATCCAAAATTAAATCCAGATGGTACGATACAATCCACAGCAGGAACAGCAACAACTTTACTAGCTGAAACAAGTGGAACGGGTGTGCCAGCATTACATGAAGCATGGAAAACATTAAATAAAGACAAAAAAGATGGGTAGTTCATAGAATACCTCTCTCGTTTCTGTTTCATTAGATGTAAACCAGCATATTGATAAAATTTTAGTTTTTTCTAACTCATACTTTTTGTGAAATGAAGAGGTATAATTCCTTCAAAACTTGTATTAAAGGGTGTGGATTAGTGTACGTGTGCGTCTGGGTATCATATTTATATTCTATTCATACCAACACCCTTAAGACATATAAAACATGAATTCAGTTCTTGAACAAATCAGTAACTAAAGAATATGTGATTAAATATTTATTTATTTATTTAAATTAAAAGCGAAAAATAATGCTGAATTATATAAGTAAAACGTTAAGTTATATTTCGAGCTAAGCAATGAATAAGCAGGAATAAGCATGTCTGTATTAGTTAATTGGAACTATTGCATTTCGATTTCTTCGTACTTTTCTATAAATCATCCAAGCAATATAAACAATGATTGGTACGAGAAGTTTTAATACAATAGTTAAACCACCAAAAATACCAAGTAGAAATGTAATAATTACTGGCAAACTATTTCGTCCTTTAAAGCTAATGGTACACGTGGCAGGAGCACATTGTTTATAGAATGCTTCATATGATATATTCACCGTCCATTGTTCAACTAGTAATTGACTAATGAGCGTCTCAATGGTTGAATTCACTGAGTATACACTGGATTGGTGATTTGTGAGAGTACGTACAGGAGTCACATTAGTAGTTGGTGGAAAATAAAATTCTAATAATTGTACACAGGCTGAACTATAGAGACATGCCAGTGATGACTGTAATACAGCTTCAAGTGGATAGCAACCAATATGAAAACCAGATAGAGCAATAAAAGTTTCATTTTCATATATACCTGCTGGTTGTGTACAGGTGGCATAAGTAGCACAAGAACAATTACCATAAACAACTGGATACATAAAAATTGCTGCATTAGGATAAACTTCACGCACAGTAAGACGCCAACTACTTGCATACATAGTGATCCAAGCATTACCTTGAGTTGTCTGACGAATGAGCATTAAACTGCGCATGAAATCATTGGCAGTGGAAGTTTGAAATTGTTGTACAAGTGATTGAACATGTATTGAGAATGACGATTCTTGCAATGGTTGTGCACTAACTAACTGAGTAAGACCAAATATTTGCAGGGCATCGTTAATTGTTTGATCGACTAGCTGACAAAAGAATTGAATTAGTTCGAAATGAGCTACGGCTTGTCGACGAAAATCGGTGATGTTTGGATAATAATCTGCTACAACGTCATAGCCTGCATAGCCCAACACGCGATCAAGCCAAATAGATGAAACAAAGTCACTTGAACAGACCTCATGAAATGTTGTATTGAGATAGATGAAACTCGAATAAGGTACAGCTAAATTTGTGCATGGACAGGACAGTTGTGAATCTTCGGATAGAAGAGTTTTGAAAGTATCAAGTGATGGGGAATAAATTGTCTTGACTTGTGTTGGTTCTTCTCTTAATTCAATGTACGAAATAAGTACTAATCCAGCTACGAAAAGAGCTATTAGATAGAGACGTGTCATATGTCGTGCCATTGTTTCATTATTATTATGCTTGAACAGATTTAATTTCAAAAGCTTATCGATAAGCCATTTTACAAGAGAATGTAGATGTTGTATGAAGGATAATCGATCATTTACTAAAAAGAAAAAATTTAGTTAATTTCTTAAAACAAAAAATAATGAACTTTTCTTACGCACCTAATTGAGAGTTCAAAGTAGATGAATCGTCTGATGACAGTTGTCGTTCATGTCGCTTTCGTATTTTCTTCAAAGCATAGTTAACCAGAAGTGGAACTATAAGACGTAATACAACTGAGAGACCACCATAAATACTGAGTAATGATATTATGACGTTAAGAAAACTTTTTCTTTGAATATACGTGTAAGTACATGATTGAGGTGCACAACTTGCAAAGTATGATGTATAAGAAATGTTGGTATACCATTGTTCTACAAACAGTTCGTATGCAAGTGTTTCAATAGTTGCATTCAATGGGAATCGACTTGATTGCAAGGTATTGAGTCCCGTAATATTGATAAAGATTGAAAAGTTCGCATAATATGAGAGAATAATTTCTAAGCATGTGTTGTTGTCATAAAAGCATTCCAGAGTCGATTGTAAGACAGAGTCAATGAGTAAACAACCGATATAAAATGATGGTATAATATAATATGGAATATGAATTCCGTGTACATGCTCCAAACTATAGATACCCATCGACTGACTGCACATACTACTGCGTGCACAAAAACATGGTATTCCTTCTGCATTTATAAAATATCCGGGCACTATGTCAACTACGGTGATATTCGTACCATTTGTAGTTTCATCTGAGACAGGTATACCAAAATTAGCATAAGTGCCTGTTATAATCTGATTACCTTGTGTAGTAAAACGAATTAGTGCAAGCTCACGTGCGAATGAACGTTCTGTTGACGAAATAAAATTAGTAGAGAGTATGTCTGCCTGTGAACGAAGATCTTCTTCTAATAGTAAATCAGACGAAATAAATTCTGTGTTGTCAAAGTCAACCAAAGAATCATTAATTATCTCTTTAGTAAAAGAACAAAATTGTGTCAATAACTGAAAACTCGGTGCTCCGACACTACGAAAATCAACATAGTATGTCACATATGAGTACATACTAACTAGAAAAGCAAGCCACGCGCTTGAAACAAAACTGCTGGAGCATAGTTGATGACGTGTGTAAGTAACCGAAATGAATTCACCTAGATTTACTGCTATTCGAGAACATGGACAAGAAACAGCACTTCCATAGACATGAACGAGATTTTCATATTGAGTTTGCGTTGGCTTGGTTATTGTTTGGCTTACAATCTGTTGTGATAGAGAAGAATAAAGCATAAGAACAGTCATTGCACCTACAAAGTATCAATTCAAATAAATGATTAAAATACAAGTGACTTACTAATAAGAATTATAAGATATAAACGGGTTGCCCAACGTTGTTGATGAATGACTATCTCTGAGGAATCTTCAGTTGGAAACAAGTTGAGATTAACATTACGCATAAGAAATCCACGCAATCGAACTATGAAAAAAATAGATATTTACTGTTAAAATGGAGAAATCATATAACTCACCAGAGAATGGCAAAATATCACGATTCAAATTCTGTCTACGTAAATGTCTCACAAAAAATTTAACAATATGAGGTACAATGAGACGTAGAAATACTGTAAGACCACCGTATATTCCTAGTAATGTTGTAATAACATAGAGAAAATCGTTTCCCATTGTAATTGAATAGGTACATGATGTGATATTACATTGAGTAAAAAATTTGGAAAATGAAATATTAGGTTCCCATTGCTCAAGCATAAGATTTTGAAGTATCTG